ATTTTGTTTTGTTTTGTTTTTTTACTTTTTAGGAATTCTGATGTATTGTTTTTTCCTTTATTAGATTGTGCTTTTGCTATTTAGTCTAGAAACTCTTTGGCGAGCCCTAGATCCTAAAGACCTCCCTGTGTCTTTGTCTCCAGATGTTGTGGTTTACACTTTCCATGTGTGCCTGTGACCCTTATCGAGTTGGTTATAATCGATCCAGGCTCATTAGTTTGTTGGTTTGGCCTGTGGACGTTCAAATGTTCCAGCTCCGTCTGTTGAAAGGCTTTCTTTGCCCTGAGTTGTCTTTGGACCTTGTCAAATCAGTTGGGCATATTTATGTGGGTCCGTTTCTGTGTTCTCTGTTCTGATGCACTGATGTATGGTTCTGGCCCTCTGCCAATTCCACATGCTCTTAGTGACTGTAACTATAAAATAAGTTTGAAAATGGGTAGAGTGATTCCTTTTAAACTTTTTAAAAATTGTTTAAGCTATTCTATTTTTTTGACTTCCCATATAAATTTTAGAAGAATCTTGTCTATATCTAGAAAAGTTTTTGCTGGGATTTTGATAGAAAATGTGTTAAAGCTGTATATAAATTTGGGGAAAATGGACATTGTTACAAAGTTGAGTCTTCCAGTCTATTAGCATTGGTGTATTCTATATTGAGCAATTCATTGATTTCTTTCTTCACAGTTGTACAGTTTTCAGGATACAACTTTATACATCTGTTGCTACATCTAAGCGTTTTTGAATGCCTGTAAATGACATTGTGTCATTGATTTTGGTGTCCACAGTGTCAGTGGTATAGTAGGTAGACATACAATTGAGTTGTGTGTGTTTATCCTGTATCCTGTGCACTTACTTCAGGTATTAGCTCTGGGAGTTTTCTTATGGGATGGGGTCCTTGGCATAATCTATGTAGATAATTGTGTCACCTGCAAATAGGGGCAATTTTATCTCATCCTTTCTGATCTGTATGCACTATTTTCCATTTCTTAGCTTTTAAAAAAAAAATAGTTTTCAACACAGCTGACATGTAATATACTAGTTTTAGGTGTACAGTATTGTGGTTAGACATTTATATGCCTTATAAAGTGATCACCCCGATCAATCTAGTACCCATCTGACACTATACATAGTTATTACAATATTATTCCCTGTGCTGTATTTACATCTCTGTGATATTTTAATAACTGGCAACTGGCAATGTACACTTCTCAATGTCTTTCACCTGTTTCACCCAGCCGCCCACCCCTCCCCCACTGCCTAGCCTGTTGTACTGGCTAGATCTTCCAGCACAGTGTTGAATAAAAGTGGTGAGACCAGACATTTTTGCCTTGTTTCAATCTTAGGGGGAAGCATTTAGTCTTTTACCACTAAGTGTAATGTTAGTTATAGTTTTGTTTTTCTTTTGTTTTTGTTTTTTTTGTGTTTTTTAAATTATTTTTTATTAAATTATTTTTTATTATGAAATATGCATTTTTTTAGAATTAGTTTCAGCTGTACAACACAGTGCAATAGGTATACTTTTTACCCCTTGAAGTGACAACCCCCCTCCCCCAATCCGCTGCCCCATTTCCCCCCAATATCATACATATCTATTACAATTCCCTTGACTCCACTCCCTCACTATATTCATGGGACATGGAGTATAGTTTTGTTTTTGTTTTTTGTTTTTGTTTGTTTGTTTTGGATAGATAATCTCTGTCAAGTTGGAGATGTTTTCCTCCATTCATGTCACTGAGATGTATTCTCATGATTGGATGTTTAAATTTGTCAAATGCTTTTTTCTACTTAGATTATTGCGATCTTGTGATTTTATTCTCTAGCCTGTTTTTATGACCATTACCTTGCTTGATTTTCAAATATTGAACACTTTTTACATCCCTGAAATAAACTCTCTTGGTCATTTTGAATAACTTTGGTTATCCATTGTTTACTTCTGTTTTCTCTTATTGTGTTAAGGGTCTGGACACCTATATTCATTAGGGATATTGGTTTGTTGTTGTTGCTGCACATTTTTGTCTCGTTGGGTATCAGGATGTCTTAGACAGTCTGGTCTTCCACAACAAGATGCCATAGACTGGGAGCTCAAACAACAGAAATGTGTTTTTTCACAGAACTTTATTTCTGTCTGGAAATCAGATTCCAGGGTGCAGCATGGTGAAGTGCTGGTGAGGATGCCCTCCCTGGCATGCAGACACCTGACTTGTGGCCGTGTGCTCGTTTGACCTTTTTTCAGTGTGTGCATATGAGGGTGGATGCCAGAAAGAAAAGGAGAGATAGCTTTCTCTTCCTCTTCTTATAAGATCACCAATCTTACTGGATTAACACCCCACCTTTATGACCGTATTTCATCTAATTGCCCCATAAAAGCCCTACCTCCCAATACAGTTACATTGGGAGTTAGGGCTTCACTATGAGATTTTAGGGCTCACAATTCAGATCCCTAATTTAAGGCAATATTAGTGCGATAAAATGAATAAGGAGGTGTTCCATCCACTTCTGTTTTCTGGAAGGGATTGTGTAAAATTGGTTAATTCCACAAATGTTTAGTAGCTACTTTAGTGCATATGGATAGTTGCCTTAGTGTAAATAACAGAATACGTTAGGCTGTGTGGCTTGTAAACAACCGAAATGAATTTCTTACAGTTCTTGTGATTGAGGAGGCCCAGGTCAAGGTGCCAGCTGCTTCTGAGTCTGGTGAGGGTCGCTTCCTGTCTCTCAGATGGCTGCTTCTTACTGTGTCCTCATGTGGCAGAAGGGGCAAGGGAGCTCTCTGAGGTCTCTTTCAAAAGGGTGCTGACCCCACTCTTGAGGGATCTACCCTCATCGACCTATCACCTCCCAAAAGCCCCACCTCCTAACAACATCACACAGGGGATTCGTTTTCAGCGTGAATTTTGGGGGACACAAACATTCAGTTTATGGCAGTAGAATTCTTTTGTAAAACCTGGGCCTGCAGATTTCTTCTGGGGTAGTTTAATAGTTACAGAGCTATTCAATTTATGAAATTTGTGTTGGATAAGTTGTAGTAGTTTGTATTTTTTAAGGAAGTTTCATTTAAGTTGACAAATTTATGTGTGTAGCTTTTATAACATTCCCTTTTTTTTTCTTTATGTCTTTGGGGTCACTAGTAAATTTGCTATTTTATACCTGATTTTAGAAATGTGTATCTTCTCTCACACCCCCTTTTTTTGTCAGTCTTTCTAGATGTTTGTTAATATTGTCAATCTTTTCAAAGAATTACCTCTTTTTTATTGCCTTTCTCTGTTTTCAATTTCACTGATTTGTGCATTTTGCCTTTTATTCCTGTGTCTTCTATTTGCTTTAGGTTGATTTTCCTTTTCCTTTTCTAAGTTCTTGATACCGGAGCTTGATTATTAATATGGGAATTTTCTTTGTTTGTAATGTACTTTTTCAGTGCTATCAGTTTCCCTGTTAGTACTGCTTAGCTGGGTCCTACAAATTTTGGTATCTTGCATATTAAATTGTATTTAGTTCAATGTATTTTTTTTTAAATCTCCTTTGAGACTTTCTCGTCGATCTATGGATCATTTAGAAGTGTGCTATTTAATGATTGGTGATTGCCTTTTCCATTTTCTCTTATTGGTTTCTATTTTGATTCTGCAACCTACAGAGGCTGTAATTAAGTCCGATGCCATAGACTTACTGGCAAGCAGGCCCTTCTCCCAGGGGGAGGCATGTTCAGGCTGATTGCTCCTTGCATCAGAGGTTTGTGTTCAGACTACACTAAACCACATATCTGTACACAAACTACTTAATTAGCAAACTTTATGTAAATATAAATAGATGAAATATTTCTTTGACCTTTTAAAAAGCTCTTAGTTTATAAAGTAGTATGCATATTATACTAGTTCAGTCATTCAGAGTTCTGACTTTACTATCATGAAAATTTCTAAGTCTACCCAAACCTAATGATAGGTGGAAAATGTGTCTTAGAATTCAAAAGATTTGTCTTGAAATCCAAACATTCAAATCAATTCATTTGGCCTCTGCTCAAGGTAGCAGTTGATGTTTAGTTATGCTGTGAGTAGCATACATGTATGTTCTCTTTTCAAGAGAAACTGTGATTTATTTTGGGGAGATATTAAGAATAAGCAGATTAACTATGAGATATGACAGCCCACTATCTAATAATTTAGGGGGAAAATAATGAACTCAAAGACAGATGCAAAGTCATCATGTTTGTGTAGCCTGAATGAGGATGACTTTGCATCCTCTTAAGTTCTGCCTTCTCCGTTTAAGAGAAAGGGGTGTTGTACAGTTCCTTCAAGAAGGAATCTTCTGGTTGTCTATCCATAGAGGAATAGATAAAGAAGAAGTAATGTGATGTGGTGTGTGTGTGTGTGTGTGTGTGTGTGTGTACACATGCAGTGGACTATTAGTTAGCAATAAAAAAGAATGAAATGTTGTCATTTGTGACCACATGGATGGACCTAGAGGGCATTATGTTAAGTGAAAGAGTCATACAGAGAAATACAAATAAATACCATATGATCTCACTTATAAGTGGAATCTAAAAACAAATAAAACAAAACAAAAGCAGACTCAGAAACAGAACAAAAGGGAGGTGCTGGGGGATAGGTGAAAAGGAAAGGGAACTATAGTCAATAATATTTGACAGATGATTGCTAGAAGTAGTGGGTGATCACATTTTAAGGTATAAAATTTTTGAAACACTATTGTACACCTGAAATTAATATAATCAATGTAAGATTGTACATCAAGTCCACTTAAATAAAAAAATAAACTTATAACATAAAATAATGATTAAAAAAAACAGATCTCAAAAATTGTTTAACCAACTCTGGTGTGCAAACAAGCTTAATTACCTAGGGAATGCCTTGTGTCCAGATCATGTCATCGTTTAATGACATACCTCAAATAAATATGCCACAGCAGAAAGAGGAATCAGATGCATTCATCAAATTGGCTCTGATAACAACTGCACATTTCCTAACCGTATACATGTGTTTTTTCAAATTTAGACTCTCGGGCTTTGAGCTGCCGTCATCCATCGTCAGCACAGGCTCTGTCCTCACCCTGTGGTTCACCACCGACTTCGCCGTGAGCGCACAAGGTTTCAAAGCCCTGTATGAAGGTAGGACATTTCCTGCACCCTGCACACCTCACTGTCCAGACCACCTCACACTTGCCATTGGGGCTAAAGGTTTCAATGTCAGTGTGAGCTGCTATTTCCCGCGTGATTTCATGGTGCAAACGTTTGAATCTTGTGGAATTCATTGATGATTGGAGAAATCTATTTGGTATCATTGCCAATCATTTTAGCGCAAAACGTGTGTTTACAATTTTCCTTTATTGATAGCACGCTTTTTAAGGGGAAAAGTGGTTTTCTTTTGACGTGTTATAGAGATGTTTTGAGAATTTTGAATACTTATTGACTGCACGCCTCTTCTGTGAAGAATTTATTTTTAATGCAGATGAGTTTTCTTAAAAATTTTGTTGGATGATAATACTGACAGTCCTTAAGTAAAGGGAATTTTATTAATTGAGTTTTGTTTTCAAAGTTGAGATTTCTAATTGAGAACATTGTTTTGTTTTACTGCTTTGTCGTTGCGTGGCATCAGGCTTGGGTTTCCTTTGGTTTCGTGTTTTCAGATTTGTGCTTAGGGTCTTTTGGTGTCGCGCTATCATTACTCAACTACTTTTGGGCAGAAATTTTTTAAAAATGAAAGAGAGCTGAAGCTTTGATAGAGGAAATAATACAGATGATGACATAACGCATTCTATTTTATGAAATTGCACTAGTGATATTTTAAGTGCGAATGCTGAAATGGGTCTATTTTAGTCTTGTTTCATATAGATATTTAAAACTTTCTCTCCTGTGTAGTACAAAGGCTATTACTTTTAACATAAATCCTGGAGCCTGTGAATTGAAAAGACTGTGGTTCGGGTATAAGCCCTTCCTTGTTTATAACACACACCCTCCACTTAGCATGTCCTTCTGAGCTAAGTCATGTCTGCATTTGCTCTTATTCAAAGGCCATGGTACACTTGGGCAAATTCATTCTTTGCAGAAAATAAAATCTACGTGTGCTTTGTGCAACTGAACTTAGCTGCTATGCGATTACCAGAAAGTGTAAGAGTGGAATGTTGTATTCGCACACATGTAAACAGGCCAGTGTGCCCTTCTGTTTAAAGCTCTGTGTAGAATGATCCCTGGGATGGTAAACTATTGTGACTGCAGTGTCTTCCAGGTCACTGTGTTTAGATATAAGCCAGCATCAGTGGCTGGAAGGATGAACTATCTTTAAGGATGTTACTGACTATCAGGGAATCATTTATTCTTTGGAGAGTGACAGGCTAATTTAAGATTAATAGGTGCTATTTGCTTTCAGATTTTCTTATAGCTGCCACTTCCTGTGCTCCCTAACTTCACATAATTTCTTTTCTGCTTAATGTTGCACAAGCGTTCCTAAGGCAATCGACACCGGTCACCCATGAAATGTGACTTGTCCAGTTATCATGTCTGATATTTGCTCAGCAGGCTGATATGTTTCTGCATTCGAGAAATCTTGGCAATTGTCCTCCCCTCCCTGACAAAGTTGGTACTTGAAAAATCATGTTTTGCTGAATTTCCTAAGATAAATGTTGAGTGATTGCCAAAGGAATAATTGGATCTTTCTGGGCTGTTGTTGGTATCACTGGTTGCCATGATGGTATAACAAAAAACAATTGGGGAGATTGCCTCTGTTGGAAAATATTTATGAATTCCTAAAAAAATATTGGAAAATGACTAGAAAAGTGAACAGGACGATAGTTAAATGTGTGTGTGTGTGTGTGTGTGTGTGTGTGT